CAAGGATGGAAGCCAGGTGCTCTGCTGGCGCGGGTCCGTGTGCGTTTCAATGGAGAAATGACAGGCGATTTCCCAAGACCGCCTGGGCAGTGTGTATATACCGCAACTTTATTTCAATTGCACAAATGAAGTTAGCGTGTAAGAAATTTAAATCAAACAGTTATGATAAAAATAGCCAGGAAATGAGAAACCTAAAAAGGCATGAGTTCAACATTCATCTGTGTTCCACCTTCGGTTTTGGCCGACGCGAGCTGAGCCGGTGACAATGGAGGCAGCTTCGGTGCCAGCGCTGGGATTTGCACATTCAGTTTGTTTTCCAGAGTGGATGCAGGTCAGATCACAGTGTTGAGAGCAGTGCCCTCCTGCAGAGGGGCCCTAAGCTGTCCTGGGGAGGACGTCTGACACAAGCCACACTGGAGGGAAAACAACACCGGCTTGTGCCTCCCCCCCTACCGGCTGACATCACCAACAGAGAACCACTCGGTTCTCAGAAGCCCGCTTTGCATGGCTCCACACTGCTTCTCCAGCTCTACAGACATCATGTTGGGGTTAGACCAAGGCACGGCACGTTAGTAAGCCAGGTTCTCTGAAGATTCAGCATGTGTTTTAGTCTTTGATCTTACTTTGGACCACAAGGCTAGGCGATTTAACTAACCCAACAAAATCAAAGTCATTTCTGGTCAGATTCGTAGGGGCAATAAACATTTACACTGTCGAGGTATCTGCATGGCCCAAAGCACACCATTAAAGAGAAAACTGCCTATTTCTTTTAGACAACAGTAATTTAAAAGCATACTGCATCTTCAAAGCCTTCACTACTACTGCATGTGATGAATAATAGAAAAAAAAAGCTATGTTTGCATTAGAATAGCTCATCCATCACAGTATAGTCTAAGAAGTACGTTTCTACAGATTAACAGTGGAAAACCTTTCTTCTATTCAACGTCTTTGTGTGGTACTGGCTGTTAACCAGCGGCAGGCTTTCGGGAAACTGTGCTGAGCCATCTGAAGACACGTGTGCTATCAGGAGAATAGATCAAAACGGGCCGTTTTTTCAACATTTTAGCTAAAGCTTTCGAAGCAAATATGGCACGTAACAACTCAAGCCTGTGTTGATGTGGAGAGCCTGGGGGCTTCCGACTCCCTAACTCTGCCAAAAGCTGTGGTCACAACAGGCAGGCCTCTCTCTCCCTCCGGCCGTTTCTGTGACCTTAACTGGTGCTGTCACTGTCCCTGGCTGTGCTCAAGGTAGCAGTGTAGAAGTTCAGAAGCAGTCTGACCCAGGCACGGGTGCCCGCACACCGGAGGGCTGTGGGGCCCGGGAGAGCCCCAGACAGCCACCCAACCTCGAGTTCCACAGTAAGGTAGAATCCACGTGAAGCTCACAATCATGCTTCAGACCACTGAAATTACCGTTTAAAATACAAACAGCTGAAGAGATGACGAAAAGATTAAGTACTTGGTTGTGTTAACGTATTTACCAATCAAAGTCACAAAATACTTCTCATTATTAGTCATGCAGGCAATTGAGAGAAAAAAAACAATAGTGCAGAAATTAAATAAAAAATTATTCCTTCCCTTCCTCCCTCTATACTCTACAAAATGTCTTCCCCGGGACCAGGTCTGGAGAGACCTCTACACGAGCATGACATGCTTCACCCTCTGCAATGGAAGAGCTAACTGCGGTGGCTTATTACATTATAAAAATGTCCACATGCAGAAGTCTAAAAAAGGTTGAAAAGCTACAGTAAATCTACAATATATTGTTGTACATTTGACCAATGGTTTTATATAGAAGTCATAGATTTGGTAAAGCATTGTAACAATTTAGGAAGGCATCTAAATCTGTAAATTCTTGGCGAATGTATGTTGTTTAAACTACAAAATTGCATGAAGGCTAACTTGGACTTCCTATCACTCTACAATCCCTCACGACGGACCCGGTCATCTTCAGACACTTTCTTGTAAATGTCATCCTTTGAAAACATGTACAATTCCATGTGTTCCTCATCTTAAGATCTAAACCTACACAAAGCTGATCTCAATTAGTCATGGAATACCAAAAAAACGATAGGAAGACAAACCTGAGAGAGACATTTGCAATACAAAAGCAGAGCTTGCTAAGTTCCTCAGCACCCAGGGGTGGGGAGCGGGGGGGGGGGGGGGGGGACGGACTTCATGAGCCTTTCTCCTCTTTATTTTAGCAGTGGGTTGTGGGAAGTGTGTGGTTTTATTTCAATGTGAAAATATCTCAATGCATGGCGATCTTGCCTGATGGGTTTATATTTTCTGCATAAATGTTATGGGAAACTCATACATAACTCTCTTTTCATCCTGTAGTAAAGGTCAAAGCAGCAGCAAACGGAGGGGAAAACAGCTGATTGCCAGAGTCACAGCTTAAGAAGGTTTCCGAGGATGCGATTTCCCCTCGACTCCGTTTCCACTTTCTTCTGATAGCTCGTAACTGAAGGGGTGGTGTTGACAGTTGTTTGTAGGAATTTTTGTTTTTCTCCAGATTCAAGTCTTATCTCTGCTTAATTTGCTTCTCTATGCAGTATTTGACTTGCTCAGCTCCTGCCTGATTGCTACGAGAGGAAACAAACAGCACTGAAAGTTGACTCTTCTTGTGTGTGTGTCCTGGTTCTGGACTTGAACTCAGGGCCTGAACACTGTCTCTGAGCTAGCCACAGTTCCGGTCCCAGCTTTTTGGTGGCTAACTGATGATAAAGAGTCCCATGGACTTTCCTGCCCGGGCTGGGTTAGAAGCCCAACCCTCAGATCTCAGCCTCCCAAGCAGCTAGGACTACAGGTTTGAGCCACCTGAGCCCATCCTTTCCTGGGGCCTGAACTCTGGGCCTGGGTGCTGTCCCTCAGCTCTCCAGCTCAAGGTTAGTGCTCTACCACTTGAGCCACAGCGCCACTTCTGGCTTTTTCTGCTTATGTGGTGCTGAGGAATCAAACCCAGGGCCTCATGCATGCAAGGCAAGTGCTCTACCACTGAGCCACCTTCCC